CGTTAGGGCTGAAGAGTGCAAGTTTGAAAATTAAAAACATCTGAGGGTGTGGAAGGAAGAAGACAGAAGTGAGCTTACCTGACCTCTGCAGCCTGCTCCTTGTATTCCAAAAAGTTCAAAATAATTTCAAATGACACACAATTTGTGCAAATGAATTTGAACAAATAAATTCAAAACACATAGTACAACTGCATGACACCACATGGGAATGCTTAATGTAATGACTAAAGGTTAAGACATTTGCTCTTACCACACCAATGGGCCGCATATCTTTGCATATAAATCTTGCCATCTTATCTGTGAAGGCACCAATGCGTCTGGCTGCACAGTGGCAGTCAGACAAGTTTATACACTTGACTTGCTCCGTTCACCTGTGGTGCCTCAGCTCTGCTGCCTCACTTGGGTGGCAAGCTAACGTTAGCATGTGAGTATGCAGATTTGTTGTAGTTGTAGAGTTAGACAGCTGCTTTGTACAAAGTCGACAGAAGCACATTGCCTCTCAGATGCTTTGGTGTCGCAATTGATTGTTCACTCAGGACAGCTTTGCTCCTTGCCTTGCTCACTAGTGTGCTCCATTTTCATAGTAAACAACAGAACACTTAAAGGCAACTCTGCGCATCTTCTTCGCTGGTTTTCATTTTTGTCATGCGGGCATGTGTTTCTCAACGAGCTCCCCTACAGCTGCATGGGACGTGTATTTCACACACACGGTCGTACAAAAAACTCACTTGCGGCACCTCCTCCCCCGTTTCTACCGCTGCTGAATGTGCCTTGTTTTTTCGCCGCGGCAACTTGTTCCTTCACTGCTGGAGGCAAGTATCTCACCGACGGTGCGTAAATACATTTATACACTAACCCGTATTCGAGGGGCGGCCGTGTTGGCGTTTATGTGGAATTGCCGTTGAAGCCGTTCGTGTTTCTCGCCTCGGTTCTCGCTTTCTCGGCGGATACTTTCGTTATTTCCAATCTTGACCCGGGACGGTAGTCCCAAAGTTGCGAAGGTTGGTTTCGCCTGGCGGGGTCGCCTGAGGGGTAGGGTCCCCATTTTCACCGGAACAGGCCATTTAACCATCCAAATGATTTCTAAACGGGTTTATTAAGCTGAAAAAGTTGCCAAGTTCCCCTTTAAAGCTTAGTTTGCTGACAGGTCAATAGGTCATGCCATAGGTCAAGCTGAAAGTGGAGCGCCCTCTGCTGGATCAGAAACTACTTTAAACAGTCTGTTGTGGTTATAGACTACATTTTGAATTTGAACAGGTCATTATATATTGGTTAAAATTAACCAAATTTTAAACCCAATTTTTGGAATTTCAGATAAAAAGTGAAAGTCCCACTTGCATCTCAACGCTACATTAGCTGCTACTAGCATAACGCACCCAAATCTCTGACCGAACCGCAGGTGGTCAATTTGAGGGTATGTAGGTACCAGGTTTTGACAAGAAAGAAGAATGCGTGGAATAAAAAAGACGATATCTCTGGTTCTGCTACATTGATTTTGATCCTTTTTAAAAACTGTCAATTATGAGCCCGACATGCTATAAGCGTGCAATGCTATATCAGTGGATGACTGTATTAACATAAAAAAGGAACTCTGTAATTCAACATGTTCCTCAAAATAACGGAACAGCTTCAGGTTCAACTTTTTTCTGCCCATTTTCTGTCATCACCCGAACATCTATTCTGTGGTGTTAAAAAAATCCCCTCCGTGGCTGCCCTCTCTGCCCCCCCTCTCCATCTTCTCATCGCCAGGGGAGACGAGCCTCGTCAGAAGCGAGGCGTGATGAGGAGCGGCCTTATCACTCCAATACAAGAGCAAACACAGGAGTCTTTACAGCACGTCGTCTCAGGAAGCAGTGCACGGCAAGATTACTGCCCTTTAAGAAGCCCTAAGACACGACCAATCCCAAGTAGTGTTTTATCTTGACAGTTTGCAGCGCTTTGTTTGCCTTTTCTGTGAAGCCTGGGGATAAAAGAGCAGCCTCTGTGAGCTGTGTCTGATTAGGATCTAATTGTTAACATTCACTGTGCCTTTTTTATTATCTAGTCTGGTGTTGCCATACATGCAGCAGGTAGAGGCCTTTTCAGTGTTATGAAGGACTCTCCCCTTGCTGCTCTCGTGTGTTACTCAAGTACTAGTTAGCACTAAGGTGGCAGGAGAGGAGCCCCCAGCTCGTCGACATCAACAACAACAACAACAACAACATCAACAAACAGGAATTGATGGCGAGTGTTTATTATCTGGTTTAATTGCTCCTCATCTGGAGGATCTGACAGTTGCGGTTAATGAGAGAGGGAGAGGAGGCACGAGCTGTTGGCAGCGAGCTTCATAGTGTAAGACGCGCGTGTGTGTGTGTGTGTGTGTGGTAAAAAGAGACCACATACAGCTCAACAAAACTAACACGAACATCAAAATCTTTATCGAATTATTAAAACAGGTCCCTAAATCAAGAATTAACGAAAGAACCAGAAGCCTTGTCCTACAGTAACTCCTCAACAAATGCACCTGTGAACCTGCAGACACGCACACAATCACACCCCACACCAGATCTTAGCCCCTGTGCAGGCTGTGTACGCTAATCAGATGCCGAGCAAAGACAGGATATCACTGAAATCGAGCCTCTTCCTCAATTTTTCATCTGGCCTGCAGCAGCCCTGGCTCGAGTCCAACCAGGGACCTCCCTGACATTGTGCAGTATCACGCACACACATCCAGGCACGTTCTGACAAAGAAAAGCGTCAAGACCAGTAGGCCTGTAAGCAAGAGGGGATGCTTGGAGAAGGCTTTGAGGACAGGAGCGTTGTTTTCTGTTTCCTCTCACTCAGAGGAAAGAAGAAAATGATGAGAGAATGAGGAATATTGAATGTCTTCAAGTGATACTGCCCCTGCACTGAATGTCAGACACACACATAAACACACATATAAACACACCACCACAACCACCATCACAGGCTCGTTGTCCCATTCATAAATTTCTCCCGTTGAGAAACACGGGCATATCTTAAACAGGGCATACCCGCCCCTTTTACTACTCCGGCTCAGCAGGCCCACATGGGAACAATTAGGGGTATACGCAAGTTTGGCGAAGGTCCGTAGCAACCAGCTGCATCTGTTTTTATTTACCTTTTGCTCTGGTGCTGGATAATGTCATGAGCACATCTGCTACTGTGCAACGCAACCGTGGTTACATGCGTGGTTGACCCATGATTCTGTAATTACCCGCCGAGCGAGATGAAGAGGCCCAGCAAACCACTCAAAGCCACACAAAGCCTTCCTCCCCCCTCTTCCTCCCATGCGTCTCTCCAGTGGCATGAAATCCCGCCTGCCTCGCCAAAACACAGTGCTGAGAGCTGGTAGCTGGAGAGTAGAGGATGCTGAAGTGGCATTTAATGACCCAAAGTTGTCCACAATAGTAATTTTGACTTCATTTTGGTGTCATTAAATTGCCAGTCAGTTAATGACACTCTCTTTCTATTATGCAGGACCAAATGTGGTTATTCTCGAATGAGATGAGCTGAGATGCGATGCACTTATCAAATTTCCTGATGTGATCTGATTGCTTGTTTGTGGTCACATGGCACAAGCTGCACAATTTGTCACCCGGTCTTGTTGTAGGGCTACTTTGGGAGGTCTGACAACCCTGAACATTAACTAGAAATATTTTAGTTTTTGCAGCATCATGGTGGTTTCTGCAGATAAGTTCAGAGAGATCTAATCAGGGGAAACACACAGTCCACACAAGAACTTACAGTAAATATCTCCACAGAGGGTTCTTGTGTGTCATGTAATGAGACTTGGATTAGTCACAGGTGGCAAATTCAGTTGCACGGTAGAGTGAAGAAGATGTTTCAGAGCTCTGAATTAAACCAGAAAAAAATGTCACTTTCTCCAAAGGTCTGGTGTTTGTTTGAAATTCTGAAAATTCACATTATTGAGCATCTTTACACAGCAAACCTACAGCGGCCAATCAAGACAGGCCTTGTTTATAATAATGATGAGTGATTATGAGCAATAACAATGAAGACCATATATGGATCACTTCACAGAAGCAGTGTGTGTGGGGGTTGGGTGCCACCATGCTTAGCATCTCCCAGATGTGCAAACCATATGCTCTGACTGAAATTAAAACAAAAAAAGAAACAGTGAAACATGAAAGGGATTTTTAACTTTGTAAAGACAGTTAACAGTCAGTACAGATAGGGTAATGACCGACAGAGGCCACATGAAAGAACCGGGGATGTTGGCGTGCTTTTTGCACCACTTATTCCATTTCCTGCTCATAAGTTCACTGAGCAGATGGAGACCAAAGGCACAAGGAAGTTTAGATTTTCTGCCCCACAGCCCATTGTATATGATGCATGTAACTGCGTAACACTGCACTGTTATCATTTACAGAAGCTTTGGTGCGTACCAGGAGGTCACAATAACAAAGGTGAAAAAAAAGGTGGAAACACAAGTGAAACATCTTCATTTTAGTCAAGGGAATTTGGTTCATGCCTGTAATTTTGTATGGAATATATTTAAGGAGGTTATAGTTAAAGCAGCTAATTAACTATACTGGCAAAGATGGCCCCAATTAAAGTAAACTTCATTTTCTACTACATTTGCATTGCTAAGTGGTAAATCATGATTCATATACCGCTCAACTGCCACACAAAAACAAAAAATCAACAAAAAGCAAATAATATTAAAAATATGTCTACTGCAAAAATATTTAAAACTGGTTTATTTGGATTAGAGTGTCTGCAGGCAGGCTGCGGGCCCATCCAGAGAGTTTACTGAAAACACATTCAATAGTGCCCTCTCCTGTTTGTTCAGTATACTGCACCAAAGCTACACAAAGCAACACCACAGTAGTTGAATGTGTAATGACGCTAATGCTTTGAGTCAGAAAATGGATTTGTCTTTTTCAGAGAAGAAAAATATGTTTGTAAAGTGCCAGTCTCACCGTAAGAAACATAAAACTCCTGAAAGTCTGAGATTAATCATTGACAACCAGATAGTCATTGAAAATCAAGTCTTTATTATGAGTTTTTATATAACGCAAGGCTGCTCCTGAAGATGGCATCAGGTTTAACAACTGCTTGGTCTTCTCTACGTCAGCCTGTTGTGCTGCCCGAATAGAGACATGTTTATTTAACGCCTGCCTTGTCTGCGTCTGGATAATGTCCACCCTCAGGCAATGGCTGGCAGAGGTCTGGCTGTATTTCTGCTTGTATAATCAACCTTCACAGCACTGACTGACCACAGCATCACCTTTAAAGACTGCAAACAGACGTAGCTGTAACACATGACACCAGTGAGAATTAAAACAAAAGAAGCAAATCAAAAGGCTTTAAAGTAAGTGTGAAGTCTGTGTGAGTACATAAAACTAAGAAAATTACATTTAATAATCACAGATTTCACAGATTTTGTCCAGTTTCTACTCCCCCCAAATCCACTTTGGTTTTCCCTGTTCCTGCTGCTCTTTATTCCCACTGGTTGTGTGTAATTGTTGGTATTTTTGTTCCGGTGGAACCGTTGATGACTCAAGGAAAACTGGCTCTGCTGAAATATTTGCAGTGGCATTGTGAAAATCAAAAAAGCTTGTTCCAGTCGCATTAATGGAAGTAATGTTGTCACCATTAAACCTGGAAGATGAATGTCCACTTTGACTCTTAGACATCTCATCAGTGTGGAGATTAAAACTGCGGCCCTCCATCTGTGTATGAGGTGATAATGTTGTGGAAAACTCTGCACCCATCTCTTCCAAAGGACCACTTTCGTTCAGTTTCCCTACAGGGACGGTGGAGCGGTCCAGTGTAGTTAAATTCTCACGTTTAAAGTTGAGCGTGGACAGCCATGTGGTGTTTGGACCAGGAGAGGGTGTGATGTGTGACTCAGCAGCCCTGGCTGTGGAAGTATGATAGCATCATTTTAGTAAAGGTGAAATGAATTAACATCCATAAGTGATATTTATTGACATTTTTATTTAGCTGTTTGATTTAATAATAATGTGTAATTTTAGCTGAAGGAGTGACATTAATTGTTCAGGATTTACACACAACATTACAAACTTTCTCCATAACAACACTAATTAAATCTCAGTTTCCCTGCAGTTACTCCATAAACTAATATGTCCCTGTATTATTATTATTCCACCCACTGAACTTGCTAGTCCAAAACTGGTTTGATAGAAAATGAGTTTGACATAAGAAGGCTGTTTTCACATTCACCGGCAGGACTTTGTGACATCACAAACATTTTGGAGGCCAATCGTGATCCAGTGTGTAACTTACACCAGTGTGCTGACGAAACCTGAAGCCTCCAGTGCACACTGAGATCGGATCTACAGTGAAGTGAAAAGGAAACCTCTTGTGGCCAGCAGACACAAAGCAAGCTTTTGAAATTAACAGTATTTGCATAGTCATAGATTCTGTTTGTTTGATGTTGATTTTTGTTTGTTTTAACAAAGGAAAGGGAAATGTTGTGAATTTTTGATAAGGCTGTCAAAGGTAATGTCTTATGGGGGATCTTAATACCAAAAATGGTAACATTATTATATTATTTTGACTGTAAAAATTATAATTTCAAGTAGAATCTCCATAATGGTGTAGTTTATAATAAGGTTTATTATTTTAATTATTGTTATAAGGTTGATAACAAAACTACCACTAAGGGATATTACAGTTTAATCTGATAAAAGCATGAAAGTTCATCTATAGATTCACATCTTAGTATCATTAGGATTAAATCTTCTCTCTATTTTGTTTTAGTCTTTTATACGTACTACTACTTATGAATTACATATATTGTACATGTGTTTGATTATATTAAATTTCATTTATCTCTGTTGTCTTCTTTTATTTCAGGGTCAGTCACTTTTGTTTTAACTTTTGTTTCACTTTAAGTTGTATGAAAGGTGCTATATAAAGTTAAATGATTGGTTGACTGAGCAGCAAACAAAAATAAGTGCTTGGTGTTACAACAGTAAAAGCCTTTCAATGGCTAGTGGTCAAAATATCATCCAATAATTAATCACCACTTTAGCTTTACTGTGTTCATCAGCAGCACACTCACCTGTGCATGGCAGTGTGTTCTCCATGGTCCAGTGCATTTTGTGATTTGTCTCTTTGAAGGTGAGCACAACATCCACCCTGTAGAACGGCTGCAGGAGTTGTTTGCTGTCTGCGCAGGCCTGTAAAACAAACCTGGTTTAGATGTTTTACACTGTAATGAATCCTTATGGGAAAAAGACGCACAGTACTTAGTAGAAATTTCAGGAACTGGCCCCACTTCATTACACAAAATGTACTGCCTGTTGTTTCAACACTAACCTTGGTCTGGAGTATTCGGGCTGTAGGAATGGTCAGTGTCACAAATTCACTCGTCTCATGCACAGCGAAATGATCTGTCTGCTTCACTGACACATTACTGACTGTCAGTGCTTCATTGACGTAGCTGCCCCGCTTGGTCAAACCCATGTG